GTGCCAAAATCACTAAAATCTTTGCGTGGATTTTTGGGATTAACAGGCTATTACAGACGATTTATAAAGGGTTATGGTACAATCAGTAAACCCTTGACACAACTGCTCAAGAAGGACAGTTTTAAGTGGACTGAGGTGGCTTTATTGGCTTTTGAAAAATTAAAGTCTGCTATGTGTGAGGCCCCTGTTTTAGCATTACCAGACTTTGGTAAATGTTTTTATTTGGAGACAGATGCAAGTTCAGGGGGAATAGGGGCTGTATTATCTCAGGAGGGAAGGCCTATTGCTTACCTTAGCAAGGCACTTAGTCCTAGACATGCTGCTCTTTCTATATATGAAAGGGAGTACCTTGCTATTTTAATGGCCGCTTCTAAATGGAGACATTATTTAGAAGGCAGTCCTTTTGTTATTAAAACAGACCATGAATCTCTTAAGTATTTGTTGGAGCAGAAATTAACTACTGCTATTCAAAAGAAGGGCTTGACTAAACTGCTGGGATTGGATTACACTATTCAGTACAGGAAGGGAAAGTCAAATGTAGTTGCTGATGCCCTTTCTAGACAATGGGAAGATCAAGGTCAATGCTTATCTTTGAGTACTACTTTGATCATTCCTAGTTGGGTGCAAGAGGTGGAAGAGACTTAGAAAGAGGATAAAATGGCTGCAGAATGGATATCTATTTTAACAGTTACTCCTAGTGTTGATACTAGGTGGAAATATTCTAAGGGCATCCTTAGATTTCAAAATAGAGTTTATATTGGTGCTAATGGAACTCTAAGGGTACAGATTATTCAAATCTTACATGATTCACCCCATGGAGGTCATTCTGGTATACAGGCTACTTATCAGAGAATTAAGGCTTATTTTTGCTGGCCTAGATTGAAAGCTATGGTCACAGTTTATATTAAGGCTTGTACAGTTTGTCAACAAACAAAGGTGGAGCATATTGCTAAACTAGGACTTTTACAACCAATTCCTATTCCTCACCAAGCTTGGGAGGTCATTACTATGGATTTTATTGAGGGATTACCTACATCTTTGAGGAAAAATTGCATTTTGGTAGTTGTTGACAAATTTACAAAATACAGTCATTTTCTAGCATTGTCACATCCCTATTCTGCTGCTGATGTAGACAAATTATATTTGGATACTGTTTATAAACTTCATGGCCAGCCTAAAATGGCCATTTCTGACAGGGACAAAACATTCACTAGTCTCTTCTGGAGAGAACTGATGAAGCAGTTAGGGACTAAGACATTGTTTAGCACTGCTTACCATCCAGAGACTGATGGTCAAACAGAAAGGGTGAATCAGTGTTTAGAACAATATTTGAGGGGCCTATGTTTTTTTCAACCAAAGCAGTGGGCTAAATAGTTGCCATATGCAGAATGGTGGTATAACACTACATATCACTCTGCCCTTAAGATGACACCATTTCAAGCTTTATATGGTTATAAACCTCCTACTATGGTTTGGCAGACAGAAACTACAGTACAGTTTGTTAATGAGTTAATGACTAGCAGAGAGAGTCTTAGACAGTTGGTAAAGTGGCAGTTAGAACAGGCCAGCAGCAGAATGAAACAACAATCAGATAAAAAGAGGACAGAGAGGATATTTGCAGTAGGGGATAGTGTTTACCTGAAGTTGCAACCCTATCGCCAAACTTCACTGGCCCTGAGAAAAAATTTAAAATTAGCAGCAAAGTATTATGGTCCTTATAAAATTATTGAGAAAATTGGTGAAGTTGCATATAAATTGGACTTACCCGATTCTTCTAGAATGCATCCAGTTTTTCTTGTCAGTCTCCTCAAGAAACATGTGGGTGACTTGGTCATTTCTTCTACGGAACCTCCTGCAATGGATGATGATGGTCAGATTCGAGTTGAGCCATATAAGGTTATGGGCAGAAGAATAATAAATAGACATAACAAACCTGTATCTCAGTTGCTGGTACGATGGAGAAACCTTGATGAAACCAGTGATTCGTGGGAGGACTATACTGTTCTTCGAAGACAGTTTCCAGAGTTTGATCCTTGGGGACAAGGATCAATTCCAGCGGCGGGTATTGTTACAGTTGGTGGGGATGAGAGGGAAGAGATCGAGGAGGGCGAAGAGAACGAAGGAATTGGGGAAAGAGGAGGCCTAGGGTTAGGGATTGAGGATGGTGAATTGGGAATCGAAGCGAGAGAAAGAATGGGAGGAGGGGAATTAGGGATTGCAATTGAAGAAGAGGGAAGGATGCATTTACCCTTTCAAATGATGCGTGCAGCTGAACCGGTTCAGGAGGCATTGGACTTAGTGGAGTTCCAGACCCAAGCAGAGTTGAAGCAGCCCAAGAATGGTGGCCCAGTAACCTGAAAGAGAAGGATAGAATCAGTTTGTTATAACTGTAACGCCAGCTGGCATTATTTGCTATTTACATTTCTAGCCTTGTAACAAAATAAGACTGGCTGTAAGGATTGATTCCTCAGATTATGAATGAATCGTTCTCATTTCCTAAAATCCTTTCTTCTCTATTTCCTCATTCTCAAACTCTTCTCTAATTCTCTTGAACTATAACACCGACGCGGTGACAAACGGCGGCGGTGGGTGGCGTACGTCGGCGGCGGACAACAAATGAATGTCTGAGGGGAGAATAAATTTCAAAAACGCCTGGGATATTTGAAATTTGAAAAACACCTAGGTTAGAGAGAAGCTCTAGCTTCTCTCACTAACACGTGAACTAACATAGGGATCGAGGTGATCATCCATTTTAACAGACTCTAAATGACATTTAATCACATGCCCTTCCAAACATTATCACATTGAATTTTGGAGATTTATTTTAGTGAATTTATGATCAAAGAAAAGCAATTTTTAGTATCAACTAACACTGCTAATTTTCTTTAAGGAATTCCTTTTATTTTATTTTTTCAAGAAGGGCCTTGCCTTATTTTGCAACTGAATAGTTGACTGTTTGTTTATGTCTTTGGATGTATCAGGTTATTGGAGTCGAACCTACAGAGAGCAACATACTTTCCGGTGGAAAGCCTGGTAAGAGGAGATAACCTTCTTTTTTTTAATATAATTATCTTCATGTGTCAATTTTTAGGAATATGCATCTTATATTGACACCACACCTTCCCCTTATCACATACAGGTCCTCACAAGATTCAAGGGATTGGAGCAGGTTTTATACCTGGGAATTTGAACCTAGATGTGATGGATGAAGTTATTGAGGTCTGAGTTTTGTTTTCCTTCGTGGCTAATTTTTTGCGATTTCTGTCTGTTACTTTTATGTGGCCATTCATCAAACTGGTAGTTGAGGTTTTCTTTGTATTAAGTTTCTCTATTGGCTTCGGTTCATGAAGTCATGTATCCTGATGGATTTGAATTGACAGATATCCAGCGATGAAGCTGTTGAAACTGCAAAGCAATTAGCCCTTCAAGAAGGCTTGATGGTAAATTCTTTTTCTTCAACTTTAAATTGGCTTCAAAGTTTGGACTGAAAGCAAAAATAAATGGTCCTTTACCTACATTAATTTCTTATTGCAATGTTGTTAATCCTAGCAATAGGAAGTTAATAAAAATGGGAAGAAGTCATTTCTCATTATACATATGACCTTAGTAACTCAAAAGCTTGACCTAAGCTTAAACAATTGGAAGGTTCTTGGACTTGGCTCATTCAGGTAGTAAACCACGTGGTTTGTATTTGAGCAAGACTTTCGAAACCCTTGGTAAATAAAAAATAAAAAGATGAGCAAAATAGAGACAATTGATTTCGGTTCGTATATCGTGTTCTACGTGTGCTATAACATTCCTTCATTGCTAATTTGATTCATTATACTATGTAATATTAGGTGGGCATATCCTCTGGTGCAGCAGCAGCTGCCGCAATGAAAGTTGGGAAAAGACCGGAAAATGCCAGGAAGCTGATTGCTGTAAGTATTTTTAGCATATACTAAGAGCTTGACCAGCAGCTTTCAAGTAGGATACTTGTATTTTGGAGATCATAAACATAAAATATAACGTTAAAGCTAGAAACAAGTATGAAGGTGTCATCTTTTGCTAAACTATAGGAATGACATATATCAAACAATGTCACGGTGAATAACTGAGTGATATTAAAGAATAGTGAACTTTGGATCTAAGGTTATGTAAAGTTGGCTGGTAGTCTGCTAGAAAAGAGCTGGGGACTTGGTCTTTGCTTGTAGAAGTCTCATTCTGAATATGACCAACATGAAGCCAAACCTTTATGTTATAATGTTATGTCACGAACCTGCCTAATTTAGGTGTTATATTCCCGATGTTAACCCTTCCCTCATCTTGTTTTTTTCACTTCTTTGGTGCACTTGTATGTCCCTGCACGTCTGTGTGAGGAACTAATAAAAGCAAAAACAACTCGACCGTCGCTAATAATTTTACCTGCATGCTTATTATTTTCCCATTTTTGGTAGCTATACAACCGTTTTCAAACGTGAAATATGATATAACTCGCATGTGTTTGGATACTTTCAGGTCGTGTTTCCAAGCTTTGGTGAGCGATACCTCTCCTCAGTACTTTTCCAATCTATTCGCGATGAATGTGAGAAAATGCAGCCTGAACCATGAAGTCTCTTTTATTTTCTATGAATAAAAACAATTTTTTCTCCATGGAGATGTTGGACCATTTTGGTAATGGTATGTAAACCATTGAGAAGGCATTTCCTTGAAATTCTCAACTATGAGTCATGACAACAATAATTTGATGAGAATTCTACTGCAATTCCATAAACAGAATTGTCTGGTATTAAAAATCTATAAAAGTCACTTAAGCATTTGGATATTTCGGCTCTTAATTTTGTTTAAGCAATAGTACAGTGTTTAAACAAGTTTTTTAATTCGAGTTTGAGAATTATTTACATAAAAAAACACTTATAGTAAAAGTTAAAACATACTACATGTCATACACACATCGGTATTCATCAGAATTCAAATAAAATATATATTGCCAAGAGTAAAAGCATGAAATCAAGAGGCAGTTTCTCAAATTCAAGCAGAATCAACTGCTAAGAATAAACTATCACAGTTTCAGGGCATTGTTTGGCAGATGCCTAACATATAATCTCAAGCTTTGAGTTAAAAATCTTTTAAGTAAACAGAAATGGGTCACAACCACAATTCTAGTACTCATCTGGACTCAAGCACTGATGTTGAAAGAAGACTTCATTCTCCGGACAAGGTGTGGCAGTGTCTTCATGTTATCCTCGATCGACTGGTCGACACACGACTCCAACTCATTGACTGCATCAGTTTTATTTTGTTGAAGTTTAGCTGATTCAAACTTATCTTGGCAGACCATCAAGGATCGGTTTAGCCTTTCCTACATCCATTACAAAAATTATCCATCAATGTATTATTATGGTGTAATATCTGGGTGACAGGCCAATAGAACTACAGAATCTAAACATGGAGAATCCTTAGACCTACGTAGAGAAGAATTAACGTTATTTTCTCCAGAATAAAAGCTGAAGAACCATACACCGAGATTTCTCTAACATCGGACACAACCACCGGCTATATGGTGAAATAATCGGATGATTAGCATAAGGTCCCCATTGAACATTCGAAGATACCATCATACCAACAAAGTGACTAGCAAAGCAACAGGAAAACAGTCATGGAATTGAACGTTTTCTAATCAACTCGTTTCCCTCTTCTTTGTCGATTCCTGTTACAACCTCCAAAATCTATAATGCTAAGGTAGATATTAAGTTCCAGCTACTTTGGAATCATTAATCACATTCAATCAGGTGTAAACTCCGAATCGCTGTCCACTAATAACTATGTCATTTGCATATTCTTCAGCACTTACGAACTAACCTTAAGATGTCATGCTGCCTTTGAGCATTTTCTACTGCGCATGAAATGAGAGTAGCTCATCATAGATTTCTATCTTGACTTAACAAAGGCGTTGGACATCAGTCCAATGATGCTTGATGTGAACATTTCTCGAACATTATTCAGAACACGGGCAGCCTACTGGATGATTAGAGGAGAGGGACAGTGTATTGCCATTCGATCACATCCACTCCAAAGATTAACTATTTCTTTTTTCCAGAAAATGCATGAAGCGAAAGAACAAATGCAAGAGGCAATAGGTTCACATTGCTAACTTTAGGACAGCACCCTTCTAAAATAAAACTCCAGAAACAGCTAGATCTTAATACAATCATGGAAAGGAAAGGTCCTTAAATTTATCAGGACAGAAAGAAATGGAACAGTGGAAGGAAGTAAGAAAGTGAAGTGAAAATTGAAGAAAATTTTAACCATGGAAAAAGTTAATGTTGTTCAATGAAGAGAACACTTAAAGCCTAAGTAGCTTCCTTTACACAAAAATTTGAAGACATGTGAAACTTACTTGAAACTTGGCCATTTCGTTCTCGAAATGATGTTGAGCATTGACAACAGGGACACTGCAATGTTCTACACAATTGCTTATCTCCTCTTGTTTCCTTGATCTATCAAAGCATTCATATGCACACTTGAAATACGCTTTCTGGAACCAATCATCACAACAAATTTAAACAAAATAAATAAAACCAACGCAACCAAGAAGCTTATGTCCTTATCATAACTGGTCAGAAAAAAATAAACAAACTTGGCATCTAATTATATCCCCAAGAACATGTAAAATTTTTAATATCTAAAGAAAACAGCAAGTTCAAAGCTTTAAAATCTAATAATCAATTTACTTCGGACAATTCATAAGCAAGAATTAAACAGAACCCGTTTGAGAATCATAGTTTCATGGAAAACATTAGGTTATGGTGACTAATATCAATCGAGGAAACTGTCAGAGAGAGAGAGAGAAGATGCCCAAGAAAAAGTGTAGAGATTTGAGCTTGGGTGAGAAGAGAGGGAAACCTGAAGGGTGAAATTGATGTGGTCTTGGACAGGAGCAAGTTGAGCTTGAGCTGCTGTGTTTACTTCATTAAGTTTCCTCCTCATTCTTTCTGAAACCATTTGCTGCTCAACTGCTTCTATGTGATCCATTTCTTGTCTTCCTTTCTTCCTTCTGACAATCTGATTCAAGAAATGGACACAGAGAATTAGGTTTTAGGGTTTATAAGGGGTTTTGGTTGCAGTTGAAAGGGTTTTATTTAGTTGTACAAAAAAAAAGTTTTATTTAAGCCTTAAAGCTACATTCTTGTTTTCTCTTGAAGAGTCTTTGGGTCCAAAACTCCAAATTCAGTACCCATTGGGCTCACTGAGCCTATCAACAGTGATATAAAGGTCTAACTTTTCTTGCTCGGGAGAATTTCACCATTTTTAGTCAATAAATTTGCATATTGATATACCCCATTGCATCAAACGAAGCGCAGATATAAAAAATGGAACAAAAAGATCAATCATCCCTATTAACATGCGAAAACCTTCCTTCATTCCTCTCTTCATTCGTCGACACCTTCGTAGACTTCTCAGTAAGTGGCTTTTTCCTGCCCCAACAGCAACAAATTCCTCAAAAACCTCTACAAACTCATTACCCTTCCCCTGACCGTCTCGTCGCCATCGGCGATCTCCATGGAGATCTCGAGAAATCCAAGCAAGCTTTCCGTCTCGCCGGCCTCATCGATGGGTCTGATCGTTGGTCCGGTGGGTCTACCACCGTTGTTCAGATTGGCGATGTGCTTGACCGTGGCGGGGAAGAGCTCAAGATCCTTTATTTCTTGGAGAAATTGAAGCGCGAAGCTGTTAAAACTGGTGGGCAGCTGCTAACTTTGAATGGAAATCACGAGATAATGAACATTGAAGGTGATTTCAGGTATGTTACTGAAAAGGGTTTAGAGGAATTTGATGTTTGGGCTTATTGGTATGCTATAGGGAACAAAATGAAGAGTTTATGTCATGGTTTAGAAATTCCTAAGAACCCATTTCATGGGATTCCTTTATCTTTTCATCGAGTCCCAGAAGAATTTTCTTATAGTGTTAGAGCTAGAATTGCTGCATTGAGACCCAATGGTCCGATCTCCCGTAGATTCTTAGCTAATAACTCGACTGTTTTGGTCGTCGGCGACTCGGTTTTTGTACACGGTGGCCTTTTAGCGAAACATGTGGACTATGGGTTGCAGAGGATCAATGAAGAGGTGAGGGATTGGATTAATGGATCGAAGGGCGGCCGAGCACCGGAGTATTGTAGAGGGAGGAATGCTGTGGTTTGGTTGAGAAAGTTTTCGGATGAGTTAGAAAAGAACTGTGATTGTTCACTTCTAGAACACGTTCTTGCTACAATCCCTGGTGCAAAAAGGATGATAATGGGTCATACGATTCAAGTGGCTGGGATTAATGGTGTTTGTGATTCTAGAGCTATAAGGATCGATGTGGGAATGTCGAAAGGCTGCGGTAATGGATTGCCTGAAGTTTTGGAGATTAATAAGGACTCGAGGTTGAGGGTATTGACTTCATATCCTTTGTATATGAACAAGAATCAATCATTTGCAGATGGTAGAACTAAGGAAGGGTTTGTATTGTTGGTACCGAAGCAGGGGCCGAAACTAGTCGAAGTGAAAGCTTAGCAGTTTCGAGTATATCTGAGCTCCGAAAGCTGTTACCCCATTAACTGCTGCACATATATTCATTTGCAGGTAAACTTGTTTGTAAAAGGAATTAACCATTGGATCTGCATTTTTTGATGTGAACTTGAACTGAAAACGTTGCTTATATTGTCATTGATGTATGAATTTGTTCGATCGATATGATGATTCCGTTAGCAATTTGGCCGTTGACCGATTTTTGGCTTTATGTCGTTGCTAGTGTTTAACCATTGTCTCGAAAAGTTTCCGTACGCAGCCAGACATGACATGAATCTTGTATTGGATTCTGGCAAATGAAAATTTCTGGCATTTATGTTAATTCTGTTATTCCATTGTTCATTTTCATGGTATGAATGCAGCCTTGTAAGAATTAATCTTTGAATGTCTGTGCACGTGCGAGTGCTTGTTTTGTAGATAGGAGTGTAAAAAAACTTGGTTATTCAATTTTTATTTTCGTTCAAGTTCGATCGAGTTTCTAAACTTTAAAAGTGAAACTCGATCAAGCTTAGATCGATAGTTTTATCGTATTTTTATAAGATTTTTGTGGTTTGTTGCTTAGAACTATGCCTTCAACATGGAAGGCAATAAGCTCATTCTATTTTAGTTGGATGGGGACCGAGGAGATGAAGGTGTAGATTAGTGGGGAGTATAATCTATATTATTTATAATGCTACAAATTGAATAGTGTGTCTATTCAATTTAAAAGATATTGAAACTTTTTTTCTATAAATTAGTATATGGGTAAATTATTCTATTAATCACTAAACTTTAGTTTGTATCAATTTGGTCTCTAAATTTCAAAATATCTCAATTTTAGCACCAGACTTTCTATATTGTTTGGTTTCTCTTTTCCATTTTATGGTTATTGTCACAGTAGGTTAATAATCGTCATTCATCGGTCACTATTTATGATAAGATTAATATTAAAATTTTTCACATCTCATTCTTCTTTCATTTGATTGATAATTGTTTGATAAAGTTAGTTTTGAAGTACGTGTTATTCATCTTTTCTAAAGAATCATTCGAATTTTTGAACAAACACTATCAAAGCTCTCAATTTCGAGAACATTTTCAAACTTCCTAAAATAGTGATTTTTTTAGATGATATAAGTTCATTGCGGGCAAAAGTGCCCAGATAATGCTGCTGGGAATGTTTAATTCCCAAAATAATCCAGTCAGTCGATTATTTCCCCAAATGGAGTGAATGCTACAGGGTTACAAGTGTGCTTGGGATTTCTCAGCGTCTTCCGGGGTGTTGGATTCGTTCAAGGATCTCTCGGCGTCTTCAACTTTGTTGCGAAACTGAAACCGCCCCTGCTGCATGTGCGAGCTGTGACATTGTTGCTGCTTGAGGTGCTGCTGCTGTTGCATGTGGGAGCTCTGTATGTGGGCCTGGACGTGGGAAATCACGGGGGTGAGCAGAGAAAGTTGTTGTTGCATGTGCCAGGGGTGAGCAACTGCATGTGGGGGGCCTGGACGTGAATCGTGCATGCATGCTGCTGGGAGGGGGCTTGGACGTCTAAATCGTGCATGCATGCTGCTGTTGGGATCTCTCGGCGTCTTCTTCAGCATGGGGGGATTTCTCGGCGTCTTCTTCAGCAGTGGGGGGGCCAATGCAGAATGCATGCACTGGGATAGGGTACCATCAATAAGGCATGCACCGGAAGCTCGTGAACATGTTTATAAGAGGGGTTTAGGCATTTCATTTATAATTCCATAGAGATTTCCTTATCCTTTTTCTATCAGATGAGCGCCATAAGTTAAAAAGGGTTCTTAATACGCTGCAGAGGAGACTAGCTACAACAAAAACAGACGTCGAGATCTTATATCAAGGTTCAATCAGGAAAGTGCAGTCAGGTAGTTCCACGCAACAAAGGTATTCTCAACTTTAGCTAGAATGTCAAAGCCCATTTAATGTGATTTCTATTTCCATGATTGTGTTGATGAAGAAATATGTATTACTTTTTCATCTCGAGCAATAGCATATTTGCTTTTATATTGGCCTTTTGACTTGATTCAGACATTAATTTTTTGATCTTCTATTCTCTAAGATTAAGAGTTTTTTTAGCTTGTAGATCTTTGATTGCCTGAGAATCTTTAAAGCCCTTGATGATATTTACTTGATTACTTTTGGATGCCAAAAGCCTGACATATGATATAGGAAGACTATAAATCCTCAAAGGGCTTCTTATTGCATTGAACTTGGATTTTCTCGGTTTAAATATGTGGCATTGATTATGAATGGCCAGAAATTGTAAGAACTTGCCTCTGCAGTCTTTTCCTTGCTTTAATTCGTATCACTAAAAATTGTTAATCTATAAAAACACATGGGGTAAAGGTGATTGAACATTTTGTATCTCAAACTTGCTTAGGGTTTTGCTTTGTGAACTAAGAGTTTAACCATAGCTTTCATCACATGTGGATCGATTATTGACTTGAACAACTTGCTTAGGACCTTAACTTCTTACCATGGTGCGTCACTTTTATTCTCATTCCAAGAATATGTGGGTTTGACATGGAATATGAAAATTGACAAGAAACATTAGTGTTGATAAAGCTTCAGATGCTCTTTCTTTTGTCCCCTTTTGGAAGGATGATTTACTTGTGAACATAGGGAAATCTTTTACTAATGCAATCTTCTTTTCCATTAAGATGTTTTTAGTTGAAGGGGCATTTTAACGTTGAAGGATGATTTTCTTTTAGTTTCAATTGGAGCTGTTGCTTTGCTTGAAGTGGGTTTTCAGTGATAATTTTTCGAGTTTTGGTTTAACGATGTTAAAAAACACGTAAGTTCTCTCTCGTTTCCCATGTGAACTCCGTTTATTTTTCCAACATATTAAGTTGTATTTAAGTGTAATATTTTTTTTTCTAGATTTGCTTAAATATGGCAGAAGAAAATATTTTTTTGAGGCTAGCTGGTCCACACATTTCGAGTCATTTGGAAGAATTGGTATTATGATCGAATAATTTTTTTATTTGAGAACGGTGAATTAATTTTAATTACATGGATTAAAAAATTGCAGGATGACGAACAACGAGTCATTTGTCCTCGACTTATCAATTGTGAGATGCCAGATCAACTTATTGTCGATAGTTTAAAAATAATCGATTTTTATTATGTCGCTTTTGTAAGAGAATTTAGATTGGTCCCCGGTTTGATCAGTGCATTAATTGAACGGTGGATACCAGAAACTCATACTTTTCATCTTTTGTGTGGTGAATGTGCGATCACTTTTGAGGATGTGGCTTTATAACTCGGTGTTTCTACAAATGGAATGGTAGTGGTTGAAAATACTGATCTTAACGTGTTTGCAATATGTGAGCAGTACCTTTGGAAGGTACCACACAAAGCTCATCATCTGGTATGTGATCGTTGATATCTTGCATAAACTGCTGAAATTCTGGATCATCGTCTGCAGCCGGTGCCGGAGGAGGAGGAGGAGCACAAGATGAGCTACGAGCAGCTCGTGAAGAACTCGCTCCCGGAGTTTGCTTACTGGGTTGAAAGACCCAAAGACCGGTTTCCTCGTCTTGTTTTCAATCCACTTTCTTCAATGAGGTGAGAT